AAAATAATCCTTGCATTTGATGTAGCGCTTTTCACGTCTTCTAGATGTCTCAAAGTGCTTCAGAGAATATACTGTAAAGTGAATTGACTGTATACTTGTGGGCGAAACACAGTAGCCAATTGTGGACAACAGTGTCCCTCAAACAGTTGTGGATTGAGTGATCAAATTATTACTTTTTTTTCTTGAGGGATTATTATCAGATGTGTGGAGTAAGGAAACTTGCCCAAGGTTTTGCCCTGCTGGGAATTGAACCTAGGTCTCTTGCTTGCGAGGCGAGTGCTCTAACCACTGAGCTGCAGAACTCCACTATAGTATAATAATACACTCTTGCCTCCGAGTCACAATATGGAAATCAAGCCCCACGACGGAACTCATAGTCTGAGCTGACACTCCAGTGCAGTCCTGGCGGTGTGCTGCATTGCTGGAGGTGTTGTCCTTTGGCTGAGACATTGAGGATCTCATGGCACTACAGTAAACCCCTGGGTATCCGGAATTCTAACCAGGCCCGAAACTGAAAATAAAAAATTTCCATAGGCCCACGTGTAGACTCCTGCCAGCCCAACGCTTCTAGCATGCACCAACGCTGCACTAAGCAGTTCACCTGATGCCCACAGCTTCGCACCTCACCATTCTTGCTCGTCTTTGCGTTGGCTGTCCTTTGCAGTGACCGCATGTAGGTATGATTTGGTGAGCAAGCAGAAGGTAAAAAATGCAGTGCCGGTAAATGCATAACCCAGTAGTAATTACACTTAGCCATAAATTCTGGCTCACCAGACAGGATCTCTCCTCCTCCAAATTTTTCTGGCTAGCCGGCACTTTAGAGTATTATTATTATTTGAAAAGAGAAGAGAGTTTCTCCCCGGTATCCTGGCTCAGTTTTCCATATAAAACTCATCCATTCACTTTATGGCTGTTTGTGGAATATTGCTGTGCCCTAATTTGGCTGCTGCATTCACCCACAAAATACAATCACTCCACTTTACAGTATATCCTGTGAAATGCTTTGGGATGTCTTCTCTGCGTGAGAGACGCTATACAAAATGTAATGGTTATTATAATTAGCCAGTCTCTACCCCCCCAAGTGAAACTGTTGGACCATCTGCTCTTCATATGTGGCACAAAGTTTGTGTTTTTATGGCCCCACATCAGAAGAACATTGAGATGTACTATTAGATTTTACAGATCCCACTACTCACAAAGACTGCATTCTGCCTTTGATGGTTGTGTCTACCCGTGTATATTTCCAGGTTTTCATTCCCACATCTAATGTGGACGTTTGGGATAATTTAGTTTGTTTGCTGTACTATTTTCCATACCCAACAAACATTATTGCACACTCTGTACTTCAGAGATACATACTCAATTTATCACAGGCCTATTTGTGCTGTTTTGTATTCAGACAGAGGAAATAAAATAATTATAAGCAAAAATCTCTTTGAGCAGCAAAAAAATTTTTGACCAAATAAAAGCTGTAAAAAGCACTAGCAGCGATAAAAGCTCAAACTCAGGATTTTTAAAAATCTTTTTCTCTGTCATACATCTACATTAGTGTTTTAAAGTCACTTAATGATGGGATTAAAACTCACATGTTAGTGTTTTTCTTGGCCACTGTTAACCATTGCAGGATTTTTTAAAAAAAAAGTAATGTGTATACTGAAGAGTTGAAACCTGATTTAAAAAGTTACAAAATATTTTCCCAGGCCAATGTTGCTGGATCCCTAGTGCTTTTTTTTTAAAAAAAAAGCCCCTTAACTGATATTCAATGTGTTCACTGCTTTCATGTCTATTAAGTGGACTGAAATTACTTGAAGCTCGGCCTTGACGCTTGAGCAGAACATTATTATACTGTACTATAAGAGTTCTATAGATAATGGCTGAACTTGATTGAGTTCAACACTTCAACTAGGGCCCACTGAAGAACACAAATAAGTCTGTAAATCTCCCTTGATAACAACAAATTGTAGAGGAGTTTAGTGGAATACAGTATAATTTTAGTTCATAGAATTCCCCATATCCTTTCACACTGTTATAGCACAGTAAATTTACATGCATTAGTCAAATGATTAAGCAAATCATTGAATCAAATGAATAAGTAAATCATTGTTTTTTTATCATCCCAGCAATAAATAAAAAGCTTCATTCTTTTGCATAGCAGAGAATTGGTGATACCTAATCTTTTTCTGCTCTTCTGAGACTGAAGATTGATTCCTAGGCTTATTAATGTAGTATGGGGAAAAACACTTGTATTTGTAAACAGAAGCAATGCAAAGGCAAAGAATAATCTAAAGTCTATTTTCAAAGGTAATCTAGTAACTCCAATGGTCACGGAGTTACACATGTTAATAAGAAATAATGTGATCATTCAAATAAACAAGGCCTCATTCAGTCCAAATGCATGAACTTTGCATTCTCCGTTGTTAGCAGGCTCCTGATACTGAACTCATAATTATGAAAAACTATCTCTACTTCCAATAGTTTCCAATCAGCAATCTTACCTGGTATAAGAAAGTGTGAAAACTATTTTTTGAAAAAAACTCTACATGTCCAGGCTTTCCCAAATATGTAGGCTTTTGTTTGTTGTTATTAACCAAATTTAAAAATGATCATAAGACAAGTTTAGTCACCAAATGGTTAGATGTAACTGTTTTACAACCATGTAAGGTGATGCAGCCCTGTGTTTTTTTTCCCTCCTGTGAAACTGTCTTGTACTATAAATGAGTAAATTTACCAACAGGGAGCCATTACTCTCAATGAACAGATTTGTATTCTGACTGTGGATCTGAGCATAAACAAGGTATTGGATGCCTGACAAGCTGGGGAGGCTGCCAACTTTGGCTAGTATCTGGCTGTGGTACTAGATGACTGCAAGGTATTCAGTCTACAAAGACTAAAAATTCTGGCAGGGCTGTGTCTCTTCCACTTTACTCTCTCTGCACATATTAGACTGACATTAATAGACCTGGACTATAAGCTCAACCTCTACCGAACGGTGTTTGTCATGTTGACTTAAGCTTTATATATTAGGCTACTACCGGGGAATTGCTATATTGTTAGAGGTGCTGTCGTTCAGAAGCTATGTTAAATCCAGGCCCTGTCTGCCTCTTCCAGTAGATGTTAGTGATTCAATATCACTATTTAAAAGTTAAGGGAATTTCTTCCATTGTCATAGCCACCAGTCCATTGGTTTTTCACTTCATGGTTGCTGTAGACACATGGCTAACATGTTAATCTTAAAAATGCAAGTTGCTACACTTGAATGTAATTACATGTGAAACATGTTTAGATGTTTTCAGACTATTGGCCTATATTTGATGCGTGTGTAAATCTGAAATAGTTCTAACAATGTTTCTTCTCCCAACAGTTGTCTCCAACAAACCAAAAGTTGTTACCAACAGTGGGAAAAAAAACAATCTTTAGCAATGATAATGTGCTGAGTACACTAGTTTTCATTATTCTGCCAAGTTATCCTTTGTCAATGATTTTCCTTTACACTTGATTATACATGAAGGAAAATTCCAGGATCTATAATCATAAAAGAATAAGTATTTCTAGCCACAGTGGTGTATTTATGTACAATGCTGCTTAAGGCAGAAATGGAACGAGGAAGATCTAGTTCTTTGGAATACTTGGGCACAGTCATAAGTAGCTTCTTCAGATAAACTGGGGACTGGAATTTCCCATTTTAAACCGTTTCCTGTGTTGTAGAGTCTCAGTTCCTTCCTGTAGGAAGCTATTGTAAAAGAAAATGGAAAGAGTTTGCAGGAGGAAATTGAAAGACCTATTAATGTAGTTGAAGATACTTTGCAACAAATTCTCTTACCCCTACCCCCCCCAATCCCATTTCTTCTCAGGGCAATGATGCATGCCGGGGTGGGGTGTGATTCTATGAGTCAGACCTGTGTTACCTTACGTAATTGTGCCTGATAATTGTCAGCAGCCTGCAAAACTGGTATGTATGAAAGCCAAGCCCAATCCTGCCCCCCCCCCTCCCTTGTTCAAATGCAGACACTTTCCACTAAGAGTCATGAGTCATGGATACCAATTGGGAGTGAGAAACCAATATGATTCATTCCCCTCCCTCAGCACCATGGTTCACTGAAGTTAATTGAGGTGTTTCCACTACTGCCTCTGAGATTCGCTAACTTCAGTGCTAAGATCTCAGACATCTATATATATATATAGATATACATTGGTATAGTTTCCATGCTTGTTGTCAATTATTTGGTCAGAGGACATTTTGTATTGAACTGAGACCACTCTATTTACATAGACAGCTAGGAGGTCTGAGTAAACCCCAAACATCTGCCCAATGCCCAGGTGAATATACTAAATTGTGTACTACAAATTCAGGTTATTGCAAAGGAGCAAATGAGTCAGTGGAAGCCAGTTAGTTACATCTGTCATTGAACTCGCCACCAAATGAACATCTGCAGTTGTTATCTCTCCCTCCACCCCTCATCCCTGGATAATCCACCTTTAAATCCCCAATATTTTATGCAGATGTGTTTTAACATTCTACCTTTAACCAGCAAATAAGGTAAAGGATTCTGCCTGGAACTGCCATGAGGCTATATTAAGGAGATGTACAATTTCCTCTTTTCACATGCATTTACAAATGGGATATGGTAGCGCTTGTTTGCAGATCACTTATATGTGGCACATAATAGACCCTTATATTCCTAAGGCAACTCGCTCTACTTTGTTGTCAATTGAATAACACAAAAGCAGAGAACAGCTATCGGGATCCACTGCAGATTGTTCTCTTTGACTATGACTGCTTTATTCATTAAGTATCTACAGTTAATAATGAATTCCTAGTGTAACCACAGTGATATTTCTAGACTGGATTGGTATCCAGATTTTTTGGGGCATCCATACCCTCAAACGTTACAAAAGCATTTTTTTTTTTAAATGCTGTTGGAGGATTTTCATATTTCTAATCATTTTCAAAGGCTCCTGTATGAACATTTTCAAATAGAAAAAATTATATTGTTTTCCAGAATTTTTGAACCGGCCTTTAGAGAAATATGTAAAGAAATTGGAAGTGCCAGTTAGGATTCTACGAATGGAACAGCGCTCCGGTCTGATCCGAGCAAGGCTGAAAGGGGCAGCAGCTTCCAGGGGACAAGTGATCACATTCTTGGATGCACACTGTGAATGCACAGTGGGTTGGCTGGAACCACTGCTGGCGAGGATTAAATTGGACAGGTAAGAGCAATCTTGTGTAAAAGAGGGCTGCATGGATGAAAGGTCTTAATTAGAATGCTAAAGGTTAGTGACACTTTTTGAACTGGCTATTCCTAAATCACAAAGAGACTAGTGAGCTGTTTCAGTTTCCAATTCACGAACCACCTTGTATGTTGCTTCTGATTTGCAATATAGCCTTTAAAATCCCCAAATCAGCTTTTTAACTGTAGTGTTGGTCCCACTTCAATTGCCACATCTCCTGACCTTTTATTGTACAGAATGCATCTAATGAGTTGTTAAAAGAACCATGAAGTTAAATATAAATTACATTATTAGCAAAATGCTATATTCTTTGCTGTTTTCACTCTGTTCCAAAAAAGTTTTAGAAAAAACAAATTACAATTCAAAAATGTTTATAATTAAATTTTAATATTTTCTATTTTCTGCATAGCTCATAATTTCCCTTTCAAAATTGTTTCTCCTTTGAGTCGTGGAACTAGTTAATGATGAAGTTTATTTGAATAAAACTGAAAGTGTTCTGTGCCATCTTCATGCATCAATCAATTCACTCCTTAATCACTCTGTTCTAAGGAATATAACCTCAGCCTCTCATCGTAACTAAAACCCCTTCAGCCCATGTGTTTTAGCGAATCGTCGCTGGACACCCCCCAAAACTAGTACAGTATAGCCTTCTTAAGATTCAGTGTTCTGACCTGAATACAGTATTCCAAATGAGGACTGACCAACACTATAATTGGAGCAGCACCTGCTTACTTTTCAATACCAGCCCTCTTGTAATAAAAAAAATCTTCTTTGCCTTATTAACTGCTTTTTGCAGACACACTAGATTTTAATGATCTATAGACTTTAACCCTTAGATCTTTCTGCTCATTCCTATCTTTTAGCAGTTCTTCATTTAGAACATACTCCAAATCACTATTCTATCCGCGGTCTACTCCTGACACTTAGTGATGTTTAACTGCATCCAATTAATGTATCGATATCTCTGATTTTCACCTGACCTCTACAATTTGGAATACCTCAGTACTTAATGTCATCCACAGACTAAGAAATAATCTCCTCTAAACCTGCATCAAGGTCATTGATAAGCGTGTGAAGCTGGGGGCCCAGCATCATTCCTTGGGGACATTACTTGTCACTGTACACCAATCAGAAAACATTTCTTTTTTGTTTACCAACACTCTGCCTCCTATCCCTCAACTAATTTCCTTGTTGTGTCATGATATTACCTTCGCCGCCACGTGCCTTAATTTTAGCTGATCATTTTTTATGTGGCACTTTAATGCTTTCTGAAAACCCATATCAATAGCATCAATTGATATTCCCCCTTTATCATCACTGTGGTTCTGTCAAAGAATCCTATTAGATTTGTGAGATATGATTAACCTTTCACAAACTCGTATTTGTGCATATTGTCCATGGTATGTGCATATTTATCTAAATGGTCTGTTATGTCCTTGGTGATAGATTCCAGTAATTTTGCCTACTGTTTGTGTTAAACTCACAGACCTACAATTGCTTGCTTTATCTCTTCTTTCCTTGAATTTTGGTGTTACATTTTCTGCCCTCCAATCCTCTAATAATTCCCAAAGCTATTGAACTTTGCAAAATATGAATTAAAACCTCTACAGTTTCTTCCTTTATTTGTGTTGGTACACAGGGTGGAAATTGTATGGCCCTGGAGATTTGTCCCACTTCAGACCCACTGCTATCCATTACTATTATACTGTTTGAAATTAGACTTTTAATTTCCTCTCATTCACGGAATCCTGTAGCTTAATGGTTTGAACACTTGCCTCGCAAGTGAGAGGACCAGGATTTGATTCCCGGCAGGGCAAAATGTTGAGCACGCCTCTGTTTACCTAGCAATAAGTAGGAACCCTGTTAGTTGATTGGCGGATCACTTTTCAGGGGTAATAATCCCTTTTTAAAAAAATGTGGTCATTTAATCCACGACTGTTTGTGGGACACTACTGTGCACAATTGGCTGCCGTGTTTTGCCCACACAATATGCAATCAATTCACTTTACACTATATTCTATGAAGTGCTTTGAGACGTGTAGATGACATGATAAGGTGCTATATCAAATGCAAGGATTATTATTATTACTTCAACTCTGTCCTTCCCTGGACCTCTTTTCATTGTGAAAATTGAAGCAAAATATTTCTGCCATGTTCTTATCCTCTACTACTGTCAGTCAACCTGTATCCACTTTCAGGAGACCCGTCTTTCCTTTACCCTTCTCTTGATGTATTTAGAAAATGCTTTGCTGTTACCCTTGAAACCATTTAAAGGTGTTTTTTTCCCCCATGTTCCCCCTTAGCCTTCTGTATTATTTTCCTTATCCCTTTTTCCTTTTGCTGCTCTGTATATTCTTTCAGTTTTCCTACTCTCAGTTGCCATTTCACAGACATTCTTCTTTTGTTTAATGTTGATGGTAACAAAGTTATTTGACCTACAGCTTCAAATTAGAAAGTGTCTGCCTGGCTCAGTTGGTAGCACACTTGCCTAAATCAGAAGACTGTGGATTCAAGCATCGCAACAGGTCTTTGAACTCACAAGTCTAGAGTCTAGGTTGACATTCCAGTGTAGTGCTTGGGGGTGGAGTGAAGGGGATTGGGTGGGGGGGGGAGGCAATGTTGGCGGTGCTGTTTCTCTGGAGGAGTTGTCCTTTGCATGAAATGTTAAATTATTTTTTTGTCTGCCTGTTCAGGGGGTTATTTAAACATCCCATGGCACTATTTGAAAGAGAATGGAGTTTTTCTATTCTGGTTAACAATCCCCTAAATTAAATTAGTTATTCACTTTGTGACTGCGGGGCATTTCTGTGTACAAATCGGTTGCAGTATTCACCTACAAAATGCAGTCATTAACATTTACAGTATACCCTGTGAAGTGCTTAGACAGGTCATCTTTCAAAGTTAGTCTTATTTAAGTCTAAAACTTAAGTTTCTGATCCACTTTTCTCCCCTTCAAACCCAATATTGATTTTTCTCTTGTGGTCCCTATTCTTAAGATGATCTCTTACCATCAGATTGGTAGCTATTTCTGTCTCATTACTCATAACTGAGTTGAGTATGGTATGCTTCCTTAGCTAGAAAATGTACAATAACTGTTCTGCTTGATGATACAAGAGTTAATCTTTAACATCAATGTAAGACTTCAATAAAGTTTAGAGATTAATTCAGTTGTAAGAATTATCTTTTTACTCTTTCAAAAAGTAATTTTTCTATTCCATGGCTCGGAGAGTAAATGAATTAACCTTGAGTTGAATTCCTGATATAATTTAGCTATTTCTGTTTGAATTTGCGCCAGATAAATGCAGGATGTTGATGTGAATATTCTGGTAAGATTTAGAGTAGAATGATCCTTGCCTTATCGCATCTCCTCTTGTAATATTTTACTTGAAGGTGTTTCATAAACTAATTTAAATGCACAGTGCTCTGTCCTTTTCAAAATCATTTTCTGTTGTTTCATTATTTCAATTAACTATTTTAAATTTAATGTATAATGTAAAATTATTCCTTCGAAATGTCTTTGTTCATATTTGTGTGGGTGGCCATGTTAATTATTTTGCTTCAAATTTTTCAGCTGCGCTTTGATTTTCTTGATTTTAATATTAATCTAAATTAAATCTAAATAACTAGTCTGTGTTGAAAAGTGTGTGAAGTCTTCACAAAAAATTTAATAGCATTCCAACCAGTGCAGAAAGTTTTAGTATTTTCACATTTCCTCTTTCATAAGTAACCACAATAGCTGCAATGCGTTACCAGACAGGATGGTAGAAGCAAGGACACATTTAAGAAATTGCTCAATTCAATAATGGGAAGATTGCAGGGTTGGTATTCTGAAATGTTGAGATCAAATTTAGCTTGGCTCAATTGGTAGCACTCTTGCCTCTGAGTCAGAAGATTGTGGCATTCAAGTCTCACATTGGGACTTTGAACTTATATTCTAGGTTGAAATTCCAATGCAGTACTCGGGGTGTGCTGTGTTTTTAGAGGCATGAAATGTTTAACTAAGCTCTCGTCTGCATGTTCAGGTAGATGTTAAAGATCTCATCGAACTATTCGAAAAGAGATGAGGATTTCTCTCGGTGTACTGGCCAATAATCCCTTAAACTTTTTGCTACCTGACAGATGAATGGCTCCATTCCCTATTATTTCACTATTCATTACATCTGAGACTAGAAAAGCATTCAAGCAGATTGTTCTTCTGTTAATACCAGGCATATTCCATGTATTTCAAAGTTCTGCAGTATCATTTTTCATGTGAAACTACCTAATTTCTTGGAAGTGAAATCTGTGGATGTTCTGTGCTAACATACTACAGCATAAATTGTCATTTGCAGATTAAATGACCAGTGAGATCTCAGTATAAATCAGTCTCTGAACACTGAAACGTTTCCTTGCATGGTGAGGTAAAAGAAAGCGCTCTTCAGAACTCAAACATGGCAGAAAGGCCTGTTCAGGCAAAACCTCTCAATTCCAATGCTGTTCATTTATTTCTATTAACTAATAACATTGTGCCTGTGCTGGCAAATTCTCTTTATCACTCTGTTTGCTAACTATCTTGAATCAGTGTACAGAGAGCAACAATTCATCAGTGGAAATATTTTTCCCTATTGACTCCATTCAAACCTCCTCATGAACGATGGTTATCATTTATGTATTTAATCTCGTGTGTGCTATCAGTCTGAATTTGATTCTCTTAAAATAGTGATGTTTGAGAGATAAAGGTACATTAATAATAACATGCTGACAAAATGGGAAGAAGTACTACAGTGTTTGCCAGGCCTAATGTAACGGGATGCTTAAATGTACTTGAAACGTGTCCTTCCCTCCATGGCAGCATAGCTTGACCTTTTGTGTGAAGTTGTAACTCAAATCACTTGTGTGGAAAGTATTGTTTGTGATTGAGTGTTCACTATAGCTGTTTGTTGTTACCCTATCAGGAGTACAGTGGTCTGTCCAATAATTGATGTGATTAGTGATGATACTTTTGAGTACATGGCGGGATCAGATATGACCTATGGAGGATTTAATTGGAAGTTGAACTTCCGCTGGTATCCTGTACCTCAGAGAGAGATGGACAGAAGGAAAGGAGACAGGACTATTCCTGTTAGGTAAGTGGCTGGCAAACTGTAACACAATACCATGGAGCTTTGGGATTCTTGTGAAATAATGCCAGATTACTTTACAATGCATCAAAAACGATATTTTAAAATATTATGTTTTGATTTCCCTTTTATAATCTGAAATGCGATAATTTTATAAATTTAACTATTTCCTGTGCGTATAGGGATTCAGCTGAAATGAATAAATGATGGCAAATTATCATATGTACCAGTCAGACAACCAGTAATCTTGCATGTAAAGATAATTGAGGCCATATTTTGTAAAATAAAATTTCAATAATAGTAACCCTTGGTTCATGTCGGGAGGACGTCTCAAAGTACTTCACAGGAATTTATTGTGAAGTGGAGTGACTGTGTACTTGTCGGCGAACCAAGTAACACATTTGCGAGCCACAATATCCCACAAATAGCCATGAAGTGAATGAACAATTTTATTTGGGGGATTCTTGGCCAGTACACTGGGAGAAACTCCCTTCTCTTTTCCCTTCAATTCAAGTGAAAAGGGTTATATCGAATAATCGTTTTTTCTTTCCTCATAATTGTTGGTGTGCCACTGGATGGGCCAAAGCAAGTCAACGCTTCATTAAATTCGACAAGCTCGTTATTTTAATGTTAAATATAGAAAAGGAGCTGAGTAATTTTGGTGAATATTGTTGTCTTTATTTGAATGTACTTTATCTGTGTTTTTAAAACGTGTCTTATCTTTAAATCAGGACTCCCACGATGGCAGGAGGATTGTTCTCAATAGACAGAGATTACTTTGAGTTGATAGGAACATATGATGCAGGCATGGATATCTGGGGAGGAGAAAACCTAGAAATATCATTCCGAGTAAGTATTGAATCTTTCTTTCGCCCACCTTATTCAATGCAATAGATATAACATTTATATTGGCATTTCACAGGATTTTTTCTCAATATTGGAAGCCTGCAAGATTAATTTGACTTTCTTTCATTATTTGTTTTGGAATCTTTGTTAATTGAGTACTTTAGAATGGAGTAGGTTTTTATTCTGCCCCAATATTTTATTAGATTGTAGCAGCTCCTTATGTTAATTTGTAAAGCGTAGTACTGTAAGGTTACCTAGTACAACATAATAGAGTACAGAGTAACACTTCATAACAGCACAGGTTCATTTATTATGCAAAAGGATTATGGACCTAATTTAATGCACATGCCCACAGCCATCCATTCTACTGTCTTTCTACCTGCTAGCACAAAATGGCCAACTTCTGACTCAATTAGTTGCCATCTACGACACTTCTTGTATAGTGCATACGCACAATGCGCAGGAAGTGCTGTTTATGACTGACGACTTGAGGACAGCCACTTTTGTATTAAATCAATAAATTGTTTTTAACAATGAAAATTTATTGCAAATATTGCAAAAAACAATGAATATTGATATTTAGTGATTTCCACCAATCTTAACTATAGTCAAAAGGAAGAAGTATAATTACTAATCTGTAAGTGAACTATCTATCTAATCTATTTTACTTTCACTGCTTTTATATCTACACACATCAAGAGGCTGAATGGGGTATAACATGCTCTGAATATTAAATATAAAGCTTCCTTGGACACCCTTTCCCTCACATTATCAATAGAAAGTTGTATTTTACAGGAGAAAACAAATCATGAAAAACATCAGGAATTTACATCATCACATTCCTGCTCTCCATTACATATACAATATAAGACCTGATTCTGGGTCTTATTTTCATGCTTTTTCTCTCCAACATTTGATTCCCATGACAGAAAAAATTCCAAGCGATTATTTCATCAGATTTTATTTCTGTTCAACATTACACAGTCTTTCTTATTATCTGTTTAGCTGTGAAGTGTTTAATGGTGGTTCATTACTTAACCTAGCTATCTTGTTCGACCCTCAACTGTCTTTTCTTCCCCACATTCAAGCCATGACCCGCTCTGCCTTCCCTCACCTCCGCAACATCGCCTGACTCCGCCACTACCTCTCCCCTCAGGCCGCTAAAACTCTTGTTCATGCCTACATCACCTCCAGGCTCGACTATGCAAACGCCCTGCTTGTCGGCCTTCCCAACTCCTCCCTCCACAGGCTGCAGATAATCCAGAACTCTGCAGCCCGTGTCCTCTCCCGCACCAAACTCCGTGATCCCATCTCCCCCACTCTTGCCCGACTCCATTGGCTCCCTATCCTTCAGAGGATCCAGTTCAAGATCCTGGTCCTTACCTACAAAGCCCTCCATGACCTCGCCCTACCCTATCTCTGCGACCTCCTAACTCCCTACCAACCCGCCCGCTCCCTCCACTCAGCCGGCTCCAGCCTGCTTCACGTCCCCCGACCCACCCGCCCCACCATTGGCGGTAGAGCCTTCAGCCACTCTGCCCCCAACCTCTGGAACTCCATCTCCCAGTCACTCCGCCTCGCCCCCTCCTTTGCCTCCTTCAAGTCCCACCTCAAGACCCTCCTCTTCGACCATACCATTGGTCACCCCCGCTTCCCCTCCCCTCCCTTACACCACCAACCCCAGCTCGGGTCTGAAATGCTGTACACTGTCCAGCGCCTTGGGACATCCTCCCGATGTGAAAGGTGCTGTACAAATGTAATCTTGTTGTTGATGTTGTTGCTAACTGCCCTGAATCTGCAGCATCATTTTGGATATCGAGCCAGCAGAGCATATCTCTCTTGGTTTGTTTCCAGTCAATTCTGCCGTGCATCCAGACTATGATTTAAAATCTGTGTTGGATATCATGGACCCATACCAGTGAATGAATTATATGAAATTTGCCTAAACAGGAATGCTGGTAATCTGTAGCAGGTTAATAAGCATGCTCTTCATTCAAAAGATATCCAAGTTGCGTCTGTTTTGCTGTTTTCCAGTGACGCATTACTTTTATCAAGTGTAAATTCCCCTTGTTGTTCAGGATAAGAGCTTGGTATGGTTGGTTCATTTGCTGGAATGTGTTACAAGCTGCATGGATGTCAAAGCTTGCTTCCTCTAGATGTAGAGAGACCTCCAAGATCTATTTTGGCATAAAAACAGCTCTTCACTCTCAGATCAGATAGGGAATTGAGCAGGGAATATTTGTAAGTACACCTAGAACGACACACATGCTGTTCAATGTCCAGTTGAAAAGAAAAAAAAACACCTGGGTCCTTTGGCATCCAGATGATTTTTTTCCAGCATTAGTCACAAAACTGACTTAAGTCTAACATTTACTGTTGTGTGACTAGCCATAAACACTGTTGTGCTAAGGTATTATCCGTGCTCATGTGTAAAATAATACAATTAATTTATATTTATACTTTTGCAGAGAACCAGTATTAAAATGCAAGGATTATTATTATGTTAAATTGGTTGCAACATTGTGCATTTGAGCAGTAAACCCAGATTCTGTTATCTGTACTGTGTACATGCAGAATATTGAAGTGGGTAGTGGGTGTTGCAGAAGAATCAGTCAGCAGCAATGGGGTTGTGGAACTAAACAATTGATCTTTGGCCCAAAACACAAAACCAATTAAACCATGTGCAGAGGGTGCCCACAGTCAGGGGTGTTTGCTCCCTTCCAGACCAAGTGTTCCAGCACATCCCGAGAATGATTCACAAGCATTTTGGAGATGAGCTTGGATTATTCCATTGGGAGAGTGCTCCTCCAGGCCACTGGAATTTAGTGCTGGACACGGGATTGACTCCAGCAAGGGTCTGAATGACTGTCCATGGTCCTCAACATTACCATTCTACCCGCACTCTGATCGGAACTTCTCTATGGCCCAGCCCCATACCTGCTATGATATTGTGCGCACAATGGAACAACGTCAAGTATATTTTCCAGAGAATGTATTTGATAAGGCAGCATGTTTTGCACTGTGCAACATTAATGTTTTTTTATGACTGGTTATTGTTACTTAATTTTAAATTAATCAGAAGTGCAGATATTATTGCTAAATAACGGTTTTATTTAATATCTTGTCTAGATTTGGCAATGTGGCGGGTCTTTGGAAATCGTGACCTGCTCACATGTTGGTCATGTATTTCGGAAGGCCACACCATACACTTTCCCAGGAGGCACCGGGCAGATAATAAATAAGAATAACAGGCGGCTTGCTGAGGTCTGGATGGATGAATTCAAAAACTTTTTTTATATAATATCTCCTGGTAAGTACCATTACATAAATACTAGAAATTAAATTGAAATTTAATTATTATTTACAATTATTAATTTCATAGTCAACTTTAACAATAATAGAGAATATTATATTGCACATATTAAATTGCCAATTGGCAATCCATTTCTAAAAAAGTTGATCTTGATACTGTATATAAAACAAGTCTTACTGTACTATATTATTTCTGTTTGTCAATGCTGTTTGGTACTATTTCTATGCGTTTCACACGTTTGGGCATTACTCCGGATATAGCATCTTCCATACTGTCACTGCAGTTGATCCCAGCCTTGGATTGGATCCCAGGTTAGACCGGTGGAGAGCAAACGCCCTTCACAACTTTTTCATTTTGCATGTAACCAGAATAAATGTGCTCTGGACAGGTCAAACATGGAGGTGACTCTCTAGATCAGGGTGGTCCAACTGGTGGTCGCATCCGGTCCAGGGGGTGATTTCATCTGGCCCGCAAACCATTCCCAACTTCATTTTCCACTGAACAAATACAGGAAACATGCAGGCCAATCAGGAGATGGTCATCGGGGCTCAGGCTCTGCCTGACAATCAGGATAAAATATTGCTTAAGTGGCCCACAGACATTTCTCAAATCGAGCATTGGCTCTCAGCAGCCAAAAGGTTGGACCACTCTGGTCCAGATCATCAATCAGCTTGACTTATGAACTATGTGACTGAGTTCCTGAGACTTTATTCTGGTGCTGGACAGACAATACGATACTTGTCTCGTAGGTTAACAAACAGAACGGGACCCATCCTCAGTCTCTGTTCGAACAATACACCTGAATCCCATAAGGTGACCTCTTTAACAAAGCATCTAGTTTAAGTGCAAAACATGACAGCTGATGCTATTAATTTAAGCCTCTTTCTTGCTCCCCCCTGCCCGTGAGTTGAAGATGAGCTTTGCGGTGGTGCACAAAATATTTCCAGGGTTTTCCAAGCTCTTTACTTCACTAGGCAATGACCTGGTTTCTGCTCAAGGACTGCAGATAAATTGACATGGAGACTGGGTTCTCTCCTTCCCTGAGATACCAATATTTCAATGTGCATTTCTCCTGAGGTAGTTCAGAAATTTATAGGTGAACAGACAAAGATTATTTCAAAAAACTTTGCAAACTGTGGTATTTGGCTATCCTGTTGATAAGTGGTAGCCGCTCAATCTAACTGCCCCCAGGATGGATTCTCACTGGCCAGAATCTGGTCAGGCCAGATTCTTCATGTTCAATCAGCTTCAACTGCCTGATTACTGAAAGAGGATGTTTTCTAGATCAACGCCATTAAGGAGGGGATATCCTCTTCATCTCACATAAATCTTTACAAAAGGGAAGTCATGCTTAACTAATCTTCTAGAGTTTTTTGAAGATGTAACTAGCAGGTTAGATAGGAGGGAGCCAATAGATGTAGTATATTTAGATTTTAAAAAGGCATTTGACAAAGTGCCACACAAAAGGCTATTGCACAAGGTTAAGGCCCATGGGATTAATGGGAACATATTAGCATGGATTGAAGAGTGGCTAACGGGTAGAAAACAGAGTAGGGATAAACTGGTCATTCTTGAATTGGCAGGATGTGCCACAAGGATCAGTGCTTGGGCCTCAGCTATTTACAATGATCTAGATGAGGACATTGAATGTAACGTATCTAAATTTGCGGATGACACTAAACTAGGTGGGAGAGTAAGCTCTGAGGATGATGCAAGATTGCAACGGGATATAGATAGGCCTGGGCAGTGGGCGAGTAGGTGGCAGATGGAATTTAATGTGGGGAAGTGTGAAGTTATTCACCTAGGTAGACAAAATAGAAAAACAGATTATTTTCTAGAGGGGGAGAGATTAGATAGTGTTGGAGTGCAGAGGGATTTGGGTGTCCTTGTACACCAGTCTCAAAAAGTTAGTTTGCAGGTGCAGCAAGCAACTAAGAAGGCGAACGGCATGTTAGCGTTCATTGCAAGAGGGTTAGAGTACAAGAGTAGGGAAGTCTTGCTGCAACTGTATAGGGCCTTGGTGAGACCGCACCTAGAGTATTGTTTGCAGTTTTGGTCTCCTTATTTAAAAAAGGACATACTTGCCCTAGAGGGGGTTCAGCGTAGATTCACTAGGTTAGTTCCTGGGATGAGGGGACTGACCTATGAGGATGGGCTGAATAAACTAGGACTATATTCACTAGAGTACAGAAGAATTAGGGGAGATCTTATTGCACGCACTTTCCAACCTTCCCTTTGAATTGAAGTACTTGTAATTGAACAAATATACCGTGAATTCACTTTACAGCATATTCTGTGAAGCGCTTTGAGACATCTAGAAGATGTGAAAAGCCCTATATCAAATGAAAGGATTATTATTATTATAGAAGACTGTATAGTTGCTTTGGTTTTAGCTCCACAAGATAGAGATTCATGCAATGGTCAGCCTGATTTGTGATTCTGACTGAGACCCCAGTTTCCTGCCAAAGATAGTAAAGAACAAGAAATTACCATCCATCTAAAAACAAACACTTGGAATATGCAACAGATGAGTGCACATCTGAGAGGGAAAACTGAGTTAATATGAGTTTCCTTTTCAGGTGCTGATTGATGTGTTGTGGATTATTAGCGTTTCTGTTCAGATTTCACATTTTCAGTTTCTGAAATGTATCCAATTGTAATCCCATCTTTTTATTTTAAATCTGACCAGGATTTTTATTTCCACTGTATACAATTGTTTGTAGTACTTTAGTCTCCTTGACAGACCAAACTAAATCTTTGCTGACAAACTGAGCAATTGGTTGTCACTTTTGATTCCCAAGGTTGTAGATAAATTGGTGTCCACATTGAATAAATACGTATGCTTCTATCTAGCAGAAGAAAGCAGTGGCTTCACTAAAAGTTTATTCTATTGATCCCATGGGTGTCCTTAGGATAGTATTGCCAAACCCCTATATTAAGTAATCTGCAACACCACTACTGCTTGGATCTGATTGGCATAGATGATGCAACCTTTGGTAGATTTGTTCTGGTGAATGCTGCCTCTAATCTTCCACAAGCAACTCCTCCCATTATTATTGGATTATTCCCCAGCAATTAATGATGAACATTACCTTTGTAGTTGACTTTGTTCTTTGAATGCAGTCCTTTCCTCGGGTCTTGTGGGAGTGCCTGTAACATGGGTTAATACACATTGGTCAAAATGGACTTTCATTGCCAGACTCCGCAACATTGCCATTGCTCCGCAACATTGTCAGACTCCGCCACTGTCTCAACCATCAGGCTGCTGAAACCCTCACCCACGCATTTGTCACATCAAGGCTCAATTATGGAAACTCCCTCCTCATCGGCCTTCCCAACTCTTCCCTTCACAAGCTGCAGATCATCCAAAACTGCAGCTTGTGTACTCTCACGCACCAGGCTCCGTGACCCCATCAGTCCCACCCTCGCCCGACTTCACTGGCTCCCCATCCTTCAGAGGATCGAGTTCAAGATCCTCGTCCTCACCTTTAAGGCCATCCATGGCCTTGCTCCCTCCTATCTTTCTGACCTGCTGACTCCCTACCAACCTGCCCGCTCCCTCCATTCAGCGGGCTCCGGTCTGCTCCATGTCTCCTGCCCTACCATCGGTGGCCGAGCTTTCAGCCTCTCTGGCCCCACACTCTGGAACTCCATTCCCTGGTCCCTTCGCCTCACTTCCTCCATTGCCTCCTTCAAGGCCGGTCTCAAGACCCTTCTCTTCAACCACCCACCTCTCTGCTTTCCTTCACCCCTACACCACCCCTCCCCCAATGCGCGGGTCCCGACCCCTGACTGTTCAGTGCTTTGGGACGTCCTCCCGACATGAAAGGCGCTCTATAAATGTAAGTTTGTTGTTTCATTGCAAAGTAAGCACAGATCTCTTTACTGTTTGTGAACAATGTGCGAAAAGATTTACAAAGAATGTACAGCACGAAAACAGGCCACTCAACCCAACCAGTTTCTGCTTGTGTTTATAATCCATTGGGAGATCCAATCTCTACTAGGCATACTCTAGCTAAAGCAGCTCAGATTTGGAGCTGAGTGAAGTGACTGATCCCGTTTCCTTCTCTGCTATTGCTTCAATTGTTTCAATGGTGTGTGCACAAAGTTACGTTAAAAAGTGTACCTGCAGAAATGTGTATGGCAAGGCATTTCTGCTTGTGTTGATTTCAGAGAAAGGGCAAAAGATTACTATTCTCTATAGTGCTGAATCATGGAACAAACTTAAAAAAGTAGTCCAAAAAGTTTTTTTTAAAAGAACTAATAATTGCCTCACCAACTACAATTAAGAGCTGTAAAACTGTTATCACTGCGCCTTTTATATGTTTGGTGGTTTGACCTCACTCCCAGGAGTAGATTTGGAGCTGGAAACCTGATACATACTTACCAGCTCCAAATCATTTGTGTTGGGAACTTGCACAGAGCTTTGTGAATTGGAATTGAACATCGCATGAGCTGCAGTATTTTCTTACCGTGCATTCACTCTAAAGCTTCCAGCAGGTGTTAAGCGCTCTGGGACGCTACCCTGCGTGAATGGCACTATATAAATGCAAGTTGTTGTACTGAAAAATGATCAGGATGATTTGTTTTGTGTTACTTTCTATTTACTTTCTAGCCCAGGGTCAATGAGGCTAATTTCAGTCTCTTCATTGTTGACTAACTTGGCACAAATGATCACAAAATCGCAAGATTGGTTTGGATAAAGGCCCTTGGAGCCCATTTGACTTCCCTTCCATACTACCCACCCTACTTTCCTCCCATCACAGCATCAAGCTGTTTTTAAATGAGTCCAGTGCCATGCCTCATCCACCCACAAGTTACCTGTCTTGGTAACCTGTTCCAGTTGTTATTTATCCTCTGTATAGAAAAAACTTTGTGGTGCCTGTCCTGAAATTGCCCTTTGCAACTGTAAACCTTATTGTCTTCTATGGTTTTGGGACATCCTGAAGTATTTTTATACATTTACTTTTTCAATCCCATTTAAAATTTTTGACACCTCTATAAGATCCCCTCTGAAATGTCTTAGATTCAGGTGCTAGCCATTCAGCCTACTGGTTCAATCAGTTTATTAACTCGTAGCAAATCTTTTAATTCTATTTTCCTGACTTTTCTCTTTTCATATATCTTCTCTTTTCTTAAACATCAAATTTGACTCCAGCATTTCAAGGGATTTATAATCTAGGTTGCAATTGGCAAGAGTGGGGCATTGTAGGAGAAGTGATGCTTTTTGAATGATTGAAACAAGATTTCATTTGCCGATTTAAGATGAACTTTGCTTTGATCCTTTTAGATCTGAACTGCTCAGGAAAGTCATTATGAAAAGTAATGTTTGAGTATCTCTTGTCTTAGAGAAATACATTTGTACTTACAATCAACAAGTATGTTTAAAGCCTGTTGCAATATTATTATTCTCCTTTGTCAGATGCTTTTTGTGTGCAGCTGATTACTGGAGATGCTCTGGTGGAACTTTAGCTCATCTATCATTATGATCTTCCTCCTATTGTTCCCCATTAGTTCCGTAGATCAAATGACACTGTCCTCTTTTATAGCTCTTAATACATTTCTACGTGCTCTATCCTGCTGTCACTGTATTTTCACACTCAATTCAGAAGTTAAAATCAGGACTAAATTGTCGCCCGATTCCCCCATCCTAGGGCAAATTGTAATACTTCAGCGGCTGTGTTGACTGAAATCAGCCAGCTCAACAGACGGGGATCTGCATCTGTGATTTTTGTCTGTTTGGCGTGGTGCTATATTACATATTGCCTCTGAGTAATTTTGGAAATCTTGTGTCATATGTTTTATTTTAGAAAAAAGATTTTCGTGTGCTGTAAAAAAAATTCTATTATGGCTTAACGTAGAGTACAACTTGTAGAAGATTGTTTGGTTTTATGATCTTTCATCAGTAGCAAACTAATGGACAGTCAGTGATATATTCAACTGTATTCAACAATAAGGGAGTTACTCCAGTGTCCTGGCCCAAAACTCCCCCAAATCACTCCATGGCTATTTGTGGGGAAATGTTGTTGAGCAAAACGGCTTCTACGTTTCACCCACAAAATGCACAGTCATTCCACTTTACAGAATACCCCGTGAAGAGCTTTGAGACATCTAGATAATGTGATAAGGCATTATATCAATTGCAAGGATTGTTATTATTGACATGCAAGTGGAACTTTTCCATGTGAACTTCTTCCTTGTAGTTTTGGGGGGTGGCGGTCAACATGTTTTCTTAGTAAAAATAGATTGAATTCACAATTTGATTTTACCTATTTTTTGACATTCTGACTGATGGTGTGAGTGTTCTGCTTTTTTGTATTGGGTGCTGCACTTGAAGGTGTTGACATACCTGGAGACCCGGGCTGAACAGGCCTGGTAACTCAGATGTTCAAATTTAACACAGATTCACAGACTTTACTATAGAGTCCTGAATATGCAGCACAAGAACTTGCACCGTCCCTTGTCAGGCAAGCGTTACCAATTCAACACTGTGGGAATATTTCAACAAAAGAAATGTTGGAAACACAAATTATATTTCTAACTGATGGAAATTTTTTTTTAGACATCTATTTGTGTGGGTTTATGTAAACTCTGTAATCTGTTTAAAATAACTAAATTGTTCATAAAACAGATGTCCTGATCTGTTTTGGCCAACATTTATGTTTAAGAAGATTACAAAGGTAGCCAGCCATTATTTAATAAAGAAAGATATCTTTAAAAATTGGTTGCATACGCTCAGTTTTAACAATTTTGCAAATTCATAGAAAGTTAACCACACAGAAGCAAGCCATATGGCCCGTTATCTGTGTTCTTGCTCCCTCTCCCACTCGAGCCAATTCCTGTTGAGCCAATGTTGTTCTCGGCTTCAACAGCCATTTATTTGTTGCTTCATCGTCTATTTGTGGTAAGGCATTTCATGTTCTAACAATCCTCATTAGTAGTACAATGCAGTGGAGATCGTTAGCTCATTATGTGTGAAAACTAACTTGTAAAAATCTTTATCATATTTCAAATCCACTTCACAAGTGTCATTCCCTCAGGGAATATCTTTATATTCTGTTCACCCATCTATAAAAAGCAATGTGGTTCTAACTTGAAAAGGCTTCATCACCTGTTATCCAAGTTTTTTTTCTACACAAATAGTCTATTTTAATCAGCCTGCATTTTACCCAGCAATTTCTCAAATGGTGAATCCCATAGTTATGTACCATGCCTAGTCCTAATCCACTTTCCCAGAGAAACGGAAGCAAATTCTAAAGGCTGGTGTCAGAACAGATTGGTGATGGATCCAGAACAGGGTGTTTTAAAAAGGGATGCAGAAAATGATGTCATTGAATCATGTGCCTCTTTAAAACTTTTTTTATAAATACTGTCAATGTACTTCACAAGTAAATACTGTCAAGTGTAGTAACTATTTTGGAGGAAAATGTGGCAACCATTTGCACTTGCAAAGTTCCATAAACAGCCATGAGGTGAATAATGAATTAATCTGCAGGATTGTTGGCCAGAACACTGGGAAAAAATGAGGACCAAAACAAAATAGTATATTAAAAATGAATACAATGAAAAATATTTATTATAGGATGAGCTAATGTTGTGTCAGACCATCAGCAACTATGCCTGATACATATCCGAAAATGACATAGAACTCCCCTAATGGTTTGATGGCTAAATGCACCATATAAACCTCTTGAGGAATTTGAAAAGACACCATGCAGATTACCCACTGTACCATTTAAATTTGAAGTAACTGCAGCTATCACAGCATGGGTTCATTTTCTCAATCGATATCCCAAACCAAACCAGATCAGTGAAGTTAAGGCTGCGAAAGACCTTGTTTCTATGATGCATTAGAACAAGGTAATTCATTATAGTGTGAAGTACTCCTATATTAAGCATAACATGGATCTCAAGTTGACCCTCAACCTCAGGAAAGCATTATTGAAACTTGTATCTTCCACTCCCCAGCTCGCATTAAGCTTGCACAAATGATGCTGTGAGCTGGATTGAGACGGCAACAACTGCAGCATTTCAAATATGATCTCAGATAGTAAGTGATAAATGGCATCCATTACCTTCTTCCCACTTGTTCCTTCCCCTAAACATAAATAAAATGAGGTCCCATAGGCAAAAATAATAACTTTGCAATGCAAAACAGCCGGAACAAAGAATTATATCTTTCTTTGAGAAAACAAAACCCATTTAATCAGAAACTAAGGGTATCGGTTGTTTTACCACTCTGTTTGGGTTTTATATGAGAACAGTTTTAAACATCTGCTCTGAATTTGCAGCAGGGCTCGGCAAATATCTCCAAATGCTGAAAGAAATGTTAACCTGATATAGTCAAGGCTGGCATTCCTAAGGAATTCTGTTGATGTGAGAATTTTAATACCAGGGTAAAAATGATGGTGGTGGCATATTTAATGATTAACTATGCTTTTTACTTTTAATCAATGCAACAGGTGTCACCAAGGTTGACTATGGAGATGTAACAGCACGTAAAGCATTAAGAGAAAAACTGTCATGTAAGCCTTTCTCCTGGTTTCTGGAGAACGTTTATCCTGATTCCCAAATTCCACGTCACTATTTTTCCCTGGGAGAGGTAAGGATTGTGTCTTAATTCTTCAAACACTTTAAAAAAACTACAGAGGGACCCAGTTATAAAGGATTCATTATTACACAAATCTGCTTATACAACAACAGCTTGTATTTACATAATGCCTCAGAGAGCTGAACATGAATGTCTTTTGGGTCTGTCGTCACCAGAAGTACGGTACATTTCCAGCTTCTAGCTGACTGATTTCCTGTGCATGCGTGCATCACACGAGAAGCAGCCAGTAAAAGTTGCAAGCCTTGTGACTACGTTTGCGAGCATCTCTAGTCCTAGAAATGTGCTCATGAGCAAGGTTCTGGCTGACTAGTCAGCTTCCTGCTAGGGCTGGAAGTGATCTGAGTGATAACGCAAGAGACACAGACAGCCATTTTTTTTCACAGAAAAACTATAACATGATGTTTAATTTTATGACCCAAGATCCCACATAACTGGGTTGCCCTGTATTTAGTCATAAATCTAGCTGAGGTGATTGTTAGTTCCTACTAGAAACTGAAATCCTGTTTAACCCTTTTACAGATGAGTTGTCATTCTGTGTGTTTTAGTGTGTCTCTGTGTTATGGTTGTTAAGTCGCCTTGAGTGCTGCTAATGATGCACATTTTATCATTTTAAATTCCTGTTCTGCTGCATTGGTTTTAATTGCAGCTTGTTCATGTAATGCTGCAGAGATGGGACATGTTATTAACTGAATGCAAAAATCAGGTCCCACATGTAAACTGAACTGTAAACTTATGCCATCTGCGTTCATATTACTTCAACACTGCAATATTGTACCAGTAAAGGGGGTAACCTGCTGAAGAATCCTAGAATATTTTAGCACAGAAATAAGCAATTCAGCCCATTTTATCTGTGTCGGGTGTCTAAGAACAATCCATTCAGTCCTACTACCTTGATACATCCTTTAACAAATTATAGAGTTTATCAGCAGAACACTGGATTTATACTATCTTTTAATAAATGTATTCATTTTCTGAATATTAGAAGTGACTGGTGTTAATGTTGAAATTTTCATCGGGCACACGTGATCAAATTGGATTGTAAACTGATAAATGATGTATTCTCTGCCAATATTAATATCAAGTTAGTAAATCTTTCAAGAATCAGTTTGACCATGATGCATACAGTTAGACCCTAATAAGCATGGTTATACCATGGAGCTCATCCTCCACAATTTATTTATCTTTTGTGACAGAAATGTGGAACTTTAGGTTGATAGGATTCCCTGTACTAATCTATCTTCTCAGTCAACTGGGTTTCTGACGCATGAGGAAACCAATTACCACCATGTGATGAGTATCAGTTTGGGGATCGTGACTTCCCCCCCACCCTGTTAATATACTTAAGACAGGTTTCAGACAGCCTTCATTTTCGGGCATTTGTAAAAGTAGCTTTTTCAAAAGTGACCATCGTGAAAGTGCAGTGGAGCCAGGGTAACGCGGTTTATTAAAGATGAAAATTAAATTAGGGTTTTTTAAAACTCTTGAAGCACAAGGCACGTAGTGTTTTTAGCAGAATGATTTTAAAATGATTTTAGAACACTATGTCGTGTAGACGTATTTTTTAAAAAAAACAAATTGTGTGTGCTATTGATTTAAACATATGGGGAGTCCAGTTCCATAGTTTTGCCAGATCCAAATTAACAGATAAAACATTGTTTGTTTTCTTACAATCAAAGGAAAAATCAAGTGAGTTTGAGGCCTGTGCAGTGTTATGGACTTGCATGTAGGATGAGTGACTGCTTGTGAGAAAACACTGTGTATCCAACTCACTCTGGTCAGAAGTTACGTCGATTTAAAACCAGGAGCCAAAACACTGCCTACCAGTACACAAGCAGTAACGCATTCCTTTGCAAGTGCAGAGCCCTGCCTCATGTTCCCAGCTCATGTCCTGGTTATTAATCTACATTCTTATTTTTATTTAAAATTTTGCTTTACAGTTAAAAAAAATTGCAAATTGGTGCATGATGCCTTTTAATGACCTGAGCTCTTGAGCACGTTACTGAATTGCAAGTAAAAGAACCAATGGGTACTATAAATGCTATAGAAAAACCTACTTTTCTAGTTCTGTAGAGCTGAACTGCACATACTTTCAATCAATTGATACATCTAGTAATAAATCCTCATCGTTTTTATACTGTTAATTTTATGTTGTCACAATCCTGAAAAAATAGCATGTGGTTTAATTTTTAAGCGTAGAATGTATTAGCTGTAATGTCCTATATAAAACACTCCTTCAGAAAAAGTTACTTCAACCTGTGCAATGAACAGCACTTGCCATAATCTTGCACATTGCTAGTAACAAGCGATATTCTCGAACGAACCCACGGATTGACTTGAGAGGCAGCAATAGCAGACCTATAGATAGTAATACAGAAGTTCATTACATTTGCCTTGGCGAATAACTGCACTTTACTACCAATCAGTATTACAATCTAAAGGCTTCCTCTCCCCAATGTGGGTCACATATATCTATCAGATAGATCATAAGCGTAGAAAACTTTGCCAATGGATATAACATGGAGCCTAATAATAATCCCTCCAAAAACCCAAAACAATAATAAATTGGTCATTTTCAATCTACGACTGTTTGTGGGACATTGCTGTGAGCAATTGGCTGCCGCGTTCGCCCACAAATATACAGTCAATTCACTTTACAGTGTGTTCTGTGAAGCGCTTTGGGATGTCCTCCCGACGTGAAAAGCGCTATATCAAATGCAAGGATTGTTGTTGTTGTTGTTGTTGTTTAAGAGTATCCACATCAGACTAAGTTTCACATGTGAATGCCACCTAGAAATGGAAATTTCTGTGTTTTTATTTGTGGAGACTGTACCAGTCTCTAGATATTGTCATTTTAGGAACAAATACTTATCACTAAGTATTTACTACAATTTGGAAGCACGATTTGAAAATTGCCAACATTCATCAGTGATGTTTTCTGTTATGTAGCATTCATCCACTAGAAAAGAATTGAATCCCAAAAGAGAGGTTAACATAATATTACAGTTTTATTATGTGAGAAACATTGAACCATTTAGAAAATTGATGGTATAGTTTTATTTACTATTTGAAATAGTAAATAAAACTATACCATCTCTTCCAGCAAGATCAGATTGATGAATCAAAACATTAATTCTTTAAAACCTTGATTATGTTGAAAAATAGGGAATATTAGTTTATACAATGCTTTTTCAAAAATTGTCTGGTGTGCCTTTAGATTATTTGCAATTTCTAATTACATTAATTATTTAATTCTATAATCTTTTTAGATCCGAAATGTAGAAACTAACCAATGCCTGGATAATATGGCAAGAAAGGAAAATGAAAAAGTGGGAATATTTAACTGTCATGGCATGGGAGGCAACCAGGTGAGCTATTCTTTACCTTTGATTCTCTTTTCCTTGAGTTACTTTCACTTGCATGTTCGGTCCATGAGTAACCTCACAACTAGCTTCAGTTGTGCTACACGATCTATGCACAGGCAGCTCATGGTCAGAACGCCAGCAGCTCACATATACACGAAAACAGTCTATTCTCACGTTGTATGGGTGGCCCTGCCATTGCTTGTTTAGTTTAGTGGTTTAGCAGAGCACAGACTAAGCTTATTTTCAGATATTTGCAAGAAGGTTTGATCAATTCCTTGGGATTTGAATTTGTGATGCTTTTTGTGAGGCAGGTGCTTAACTGCTTCAGTGCTGGATTGCCTTGCAACTTGTTTTATACCATTAGCAATGAAGCAAAGGGAAACTAGTTTAAACTGGTCATTAGACACGTGCATCATCGGAAAAAGTCTGTCCAAAAATCTGGTGGCACAGTGTTTTTTTGCATTCTTTTTTGGTTCACAGGATGCAAAGAGGCCGTGCTGAAGTGTGTGGGTTGGTCTCTTCTTTTTGCCGGCTTCATAAGGGATATATAATGGTTTCTGGCCTGCAGGGAGGAGAGACAGAAAGATTGGCTGAGTATCAATGAAGCAAAATCTTGAAACTTAATTTGTTCGAGAGCAGCCAGAAAATCATAGAATGGACTGTAAACAAGTTCAAAACTGAGTTGCCAATGGAGAAGTGTTGTCAAAGAGTTACCTAAAGTTAGTCTATACTGTTAAAGCTCAAACCATCCACTAATGCCTTCATGTATAGATTAATTAGGAGTCTTGAGACTTGAAGCTTATTAACGCTGTCCAATATCTGCTTTAATCAGTTCTCTGGCCCCCATTTAAGTATGCCGATTATTCATTGTACATGATCTTTGCATGTGAACCTTGTAAAAATAATCATAGTACAGCTAATATCAAGGTTAAAATACATAAAGCTAAAAGAAATTTAAGCAACATTGAAATGACTTCCTACATCAATTGCTTGTCTTGTCATGAATTCAGACCCTTGTTATTTTTGCAGTTTTAATCCTTTCATGTTCTTTCATTCGCTAGGTATTCTCCTATACTGCAAACAAAGAAATCCGAACTGATGACTTGTGCTTAGATGTGTCCAAACTTAATGGCCCTATCATGATGCTGAAGTGCCATCATCTGAAAGGCAATCAGCTTTGGGATTATGACAATGTAGTAAGTAATTTATTGTAAATATTTGTATTTAAAAATAAATTTTATGTGCTTTTTACTCACGCATTAATTATTGGTTATATTTAATAATGATAAATTATAGTTAAACAGAATTTACAAATAAAGGTTCAGATCATAACTTTACACCGTTGAACTTTGGTCTAAAGTGCAAGGCCGCAAAAGAATTCACCAGCTATTGAGGCCGAACATCTATTAATTCTACTTGGACAGTGACCTCCTGACAGTTATAGAACCCTCCTTTGGTCATTATTAACTTCACGGAAACAGATGAGATACATGACCACGTATAACTCAGAGAGTTCAGCATGACAGAATCCAGGTGCTGGCAGGTATTGCTTTTTATGACTGGAGGAATAGGAACTTAAAATACCAATTGCAGAATATACACTACAGTAGAATGCCATTATAACTAGGGCTTGTGATCACAGGAATCCCAGAATCCTGGGATTTATTGAAGAGAATCCTGGGTATTTTGGGATTGTATAAAAGCTGAACCCGGGTGGAAGGAGGTGGCGGGCTTTCCTGGTCCACCAGACGTATATATTGTGAATACCTGCGTTCCCCAACATTGAACCCAACTTGTCACAACCTGCCAATCAGAACTACAACAACAACAAGATTACATTTGTATAGCGCCTTTCACTTCAGGAGGACGTCTCAAGGCGCTGGATAGTGTACAGCATTTCAGACCCGAGTTGGGGTTGGGGGGGAGGGGAGGGGAAAGGGGATGGTCGAAGAGGAGGGTCTTGAGGCGGGACTTGAAGGAGGCTAAGGAAGGGGTGAGGCAGAGTGACTGGGGGATGGAATTCCAGAGGTTGGGGGCAGAGTGGCTGAAGGCTCTCCCCCAATGGTGGGTCGGGGGACGTGGAGCAGGCCGGAGCCGGCTGAGCGGAGGGAGCGGGCGGATTGGTAGGGGGTTAGGAGATCGCAGAGGTAGGGCGGGGCGAGGCTATGGAGGGCTTTGTAGGTGAAGATCAGGGTTTTGTCCTGGATCCTCTGAAGGATAGGGAGCCAGTGGAGTTGGGGGAGAGTGGGGGAGATGGGGTCACGGAGTTTGGTGCAGGAGAGGACATGGGCTGCAGATTATCTGCAGTCTGTGGAGGGAGGAGTTGGGAAGGCCGACAAGCAGGGCGTTTGCATAGTCGAGCCTGGAGGTGACGAAGGCATGAACAAGAGTTTCAGCGGCCTGAGGGGTGAGGTAGTGGCAGAGTTGAGCGATGTTACAGAGGTGAGGGAAGGCAGAGTGGGTCATGGCTTGAATGTGGGGGAGAAAAGACAGTTGAGGGTCGAACAAGACACCTGGGTTCCTGACTGGCTGGTGAGTTGTAGTGTGCAACCATGGAGGTTGATGCTGCCAGAGCCTGAATCAAGAGATTGTGCATTTTATCTCAACTTGATTTTATTCAATAATGTCTTATGTGGAACCTTACCAAATGCCTTGAAAATCCATATAATTGACAGTGATTTCCTTTAGTGGGGTGAGAGTCTGTTCTGTTTGTTGATTGCAAGGCTCCGAGCTGAAATGAATCTCATGTCAGTTAGTAAATTTGAAGCATGGCACAAAGTGGTTGGCACCAATTGGAACTACAGTAACTTGGTCATTTCAATTAGGGAAGCCACAGGATGCTTTTTGTGGGGAATGGAAGGTGTGCAATTGAAATGCTGTCCTGATACGGAAAGAACAGGAAATTTATTCTGTGACTAATTGTTCTAAGCACTGCCTTTATTTAATTTTTATATTGCCCTTTTTTGCCTGGTTAAGCACATTTTCAAAAAGGACTAAACGTCTCTATTGAGTGTAGTTCAAGGTCCAAGGCAAAGTAACATCATCTGGCTAAATAGGTATGAAAGCCTCACATTTTGAGATGGTGTAACCTTCAGTACAATACAGTACTTCGCCATTAATTCAAATATTTGTCTGCAGAATGTGGATGTAAGCTATCGGGACAATCAAAATGTCATGCCGCAGTAAAGATCAATATTTGTGCTGAATTTGTCTTTATCATACAATGGCCAATATTGTGTAGCATGCTTCACAGAATTTAAAAATGTATTTTTAAAAAAAAGGCGCTTCTCCTGGAGTACTGACCAACAAATCCCCAAATAAAATTGGTCAGTCACTCTATGGTTGTTGCGGGACATTGGTTTGCTCAAACTGACCACCAAGTTTCGCCCAGAAAATATACAGTCAATCCATTTTACAGTGTATCCTGTGAAGCGCTTTGAGACGTCTTAGTGACATGATAAGGAGCTATGTCAATTTCAAGGATTGTTATTCTGTCAGTGAAATTCAATACCCTTGTTAGCACAATCTGGAGGTTACTTCACACACACACACACCTCTCCCGAGTAAATGTGACACCGAGTAAGTCTGTGTGATATTTAATCAACACAGATTAAATATCCTATGTGGAAATCATGTAAATAGCAGTTTTAATCGGTCTCATTTTTTAAAAAATCACCCTTTTTATGTGATTGTTTTATGTACAGTAACACACTCAGTTATTTTTACGAGACTTACCACTGAGCATCAGTGAATGCTGAATGAATCATTTGAACAACTTCATGCATTTTTCAACACATTTAATTTTCTTGTCCAACATTGGGTTTCTTCTGCAAACCACCATGCTGGGAGAAATCTTTAAATTGAGTTCACATTCCTTTGCCCCAGTAATTGAAAAGTTTCAACTGGATTGGATGAGGTTAAATTAAATTACTATCCTTTCACCTTGCATTATCTGGATTTGAGTCCAGGCCAGAAGGATAGATGAAAGTCTTTTAGATTTAAGGATCTTAAAAGGCATTAGTTTTGCCAATCACGACCTAGTTGCAGGCAATGTAAATTTGTAGAACAGAACAGTCCTAATTGTGTTCCACATGTTTTGCCATGGCTAATTTAGAAGGTAGAAACATCACACTTGCTGTAGTAGGGAACGAAGAAATCATTTTAGCTTCCTGTCAACAGTTTTATAAATCTATTAAATCCTACACTATTCTCTGTATAAGGATACAATGTAAATGCTTCAATGTTAAGTTTAGCGATTTAATTTCATCCAAAATACTTGTGCTACCAGTACTCTATTCTCATATTTTCAGTCATTTGATAGCTAGTTGGTTACTTGAATTAATTGTGCGAATTGGCTTGGCTGATAAGCTGCCAATCTTCACAGTTGGGTTCATTTTAATATTGACTGTTCCATTGACAAAATGGAAGTCAAAACATATTTTGTAATATGACTACAGTGGTAGTATTATGGTAGAAGAGGCACATTTGTCATAAATAGGTCTGAGGTGAACTGCCCACTGGTATAATACTACAGAAGTTTTCAATATGATTAAAATTGACCTGCATTCTTTTCAAAAGACTATTGAATTTGTTTGGAATCCATTAGAAATGTTGGCAGATGATCTTGTAATGTTACTGGTTGACTTTCCATTATTTGCTGTTATAACTGCCAAGTTGCGTTGTTCATATTTTTGACAATTTTGCAAAAATGTGAGCAATTTTTTAACTAATCCCCTAAAGTATTTGAACCTTGCCTCAGTTTTGTAGCTCTTATTTCAGGGTTTCGGCTTACTCCCAAGTATCTTGTATTCAGAATTTACAAAATCTTCTAATGTATTGCAATAAAACAATTGGTAGTCTAGATAATCCTCGGTAACATCCTACATATGAGTTTTAATAGGTTCCTTAAACAATTAAATTAGAATCTGATGTATATAACAAAATTTCCAGCACATTTTAATTTGTATAAATAAAACCAGGACCAGAATTGAATATCTAACTTGCTGTATTTAACAGGTTCCTTAATAAATGAATGGTGTCGCATAGTGGGGCACCTTTTGGTAACACAATACATCATGCTAACCCACCAAACAAATTGCTACTGAAGGAATCTGTTTATTAAACACTGCAAAATAGGTCCCATTAGCTACTGTATAGGAACACAATAGCACTCGTGTCTGAGAGCATGTTTCTTGATTCTTTTTGAGAATAGACTTATCTTCTGTATTAGACCATTAAAGCAATTTCTTTTGATTTTTCAGAAAATGACACTGCTCCACGTAAACAGCAATCAGTGCTTGGATAAAGCCATGGAGACAGAAAGCCAGGTGCCCACCATGAAAGACTGCAATGGCGGTCGTTCTCAGCAATGGATTTTGCGCAATGTCACACTTCCTGACATTTTCTGATGGTTCTGTTGTGAGGATTTAGTGTGCTACCTATGTGCACTTTGCTGCTGGACCAGTCTTAAACTGAACGTTTATCTCAGCAGTGAATTGGTTCTTCCTTTGAGCATGTGGACTCATTTTGAAGGATGTTTAATACATAAATTCGTGGTCTTAGAACTGCCGCCTTTCTTCATGGCTTGAAGACTACAGCTTTTTATGGAGAAAATGTACACACTGATGTTTACACGATTGTTTCTAATTGGTTTAAAAAGGGGAAAGTGAAGACAACAAGATGGCTTCAATCCCAATGAGTGAACTTGCGGTTCACAAAGCAAATATGGTTTAATCTAGGAAATGGCCTGTCATATCACTGGTTTTCTGTGTCAGCGGTATATCATTGTAATTTAATCACACAATTGTTGTACTTATCTGGGAAGTGACAGAACCGGAAACTAAAATTCAAAATATCGCTACGAGTCTTAGTTTACCCATAGCAACCAATGTACACAGTATCAGAGGGGGAATGCAAAGAATATATATCACACATGTCCATTTAAATCATTTTTGTATGAACAGGAATCTATACAATGGGGATAAAGTTCATGAGCAAAGTTGAATAATACAATTATGACAGACTTAATTTTATGTAGATTTTTATACCTCAATGAACAATTAACCAGTTCTAATTTAGAAAATTGTGACCATTCTGTTTGATTGCCTTAGTAATCATTTCAGTTAACTTTTTCTTAAACTATGGTGTATTAGAATAGTAGAAGCCACCAAGAGATAGGAAAATGTTACGCACATGTTCTTTTTCTTTACCATCTTTTATTTTTCCCTTTCTGTCTGGGTTTCTTACCCCAGATTTGTGAATGGTTAGATCTCGGTCTTTTTGTTCTTTTCCCAAATAATAATCCTCTGAGAACTGCTGCTACGAACCAGTCAAGGAACATATGGACTAACCGGCTTCTGAATGCGAGTGATTAAATGTTTCTGTATAGTTTGGCTTTGTATTCTCAGTGAATGATGGATTTGAATCATACCGTTAAGAGTGTGTGTGGCCTTGGTTCTTTTGGGTGTAGATTTTCTTATTAATAAAACCAAAATCAAATTCGCTGTAATGAATGCTTGTTCATCAGTGGACTGGGCCGTAGCTGGAGTTTTTGCAGGAGAACGTCTTCACTCCGTCCATAAATGGTCTTATTACTCCATTCGCAAAACTATCGTAGATTCTGTGAAATACTGGTGATTGCTTTTTTTCCCTAATAAAATATTTAAAATGGTTCAGTTGGGTGTGTTTTCTACAGCCTCACATCAGTATCGAGCATTAATAAAGAATCTATTTTATGCACAACTTGTATTAAATGAATAGGATGTTATTTTCAGGATCCTGAGCAAACGTAGAGTTTTCCTTTCATACTGATTTTCTGTGTCAGTGAAATACAATTGCAATTTAATCCCACAATTAATTGATTATCATTTTCAATATTTTTATCCCCATACACAGTGACCACATTTTGCAAGAAAAAATCTGAAGTGCTTTAAGATGTTCTGATGTAATAATGAGGTATACCAAATCAAGTATTTAATATTATTTTGGGTAAAGGGCATTACATCATTTACTATTTGGGATTTCCTTGCATATTGTGGTCCTAATGAGGGAACTTGAGTTTGAACCCCGGTCTCGGTTAATGCTTGCACTTGATCCTCCCTGACCAAACGTGTTTGACTGTGTGGGATAGGAAAGGGCTGATTCCAGGTATTAAATATTTCATAATGAGGCCACAAAAAAGTGATACAAATGTTGTATGTCGGATGTCGATAAGCTTGACCAGTGTGATATACTAACCAATGATATACTGTCCCACACAAGTTGGATCCTTTGAATGTTGCTTCTTCAGTAACCCGATTGAATCTATTGGAATATAGCATTCACACTGCCTATTATTTTCAACCTGGTTCAGTGAATATTATAAATTCTGGCTTCCACCAGTCTAAGTCACTCAACAGCTGCAAAATCATTCCAGAATTTGAATGTTTCATCTTTCAAAGGGGAAACCACTTCAGCCACTGCAATTCGACCCAACAAATTCACTGAATGTAGAATTACAGGGAACTAATACGTATGACTTAATATCAAAACAAAAACAGATGTGCAAGCAAAATATGCTTTTTCAGCACTCCTGTGAATAAAAGGGAAATAAAAAGATAACATTAATTCAAATTTGATGCTTTAGTTTTGATTAGCTGAAATAAGATGTAAGGTATAGCACTCTTCTCACAACTTAAGATTTCAATATGAACATGTTTTTCAATGAATATTCTTAAAAAGTCCCAGAAAAAGGTGGGAATAACTGGAGGTTCCATAAAAATACTGATCAGCAGAAATTGCTTTGTAGGTTTATATCAGTTGCCGATTTGCAATAATTACAGTATAGTGGGCTTGCTTTCTGTTAATGGGAAGTGGCAGATCTGATTTGGGATTAGATGAAGCATTGAGAACATCAGATCAGCTGTTAATTTGGGACCACATTAACCACTGCTTATTAACCCTATGACAGCAGTAGTAGTTTAATATCTAGCTGCATACATGTACTCTGGAGTCTGCCTTGGCTATTAAAAAGGATGGAAGTGTAAACCAGAAGGAATAAATAGAGTGAAACTATGTTTTTAAAAATTACTTTTAAAAAAAAAGGGTTTGATTGTTTCGCTCATCTCAATTCACAAAAGAACATAATTTGAGTGAGAGAATTAAGAGACTCATGAAGTGTGCATTGGTGTTTGGTGCCATGCAAGAGGTTAAAGCCATGGGCAGATGCTTGGAGGTCACCAGTGTTTCCATGGTACAAAAAGGTTCATTTGTCCTGGAGTTAATTTGCAAGCGCAGAGATTTCTCAGCAATTGTGTTCCTCCATTAGAAATGTAAAAGACATTGTAATGGTATCACAATGTTTTGGTCACCTGTAGTTTGTTGCAAAACCAGCAATATTGTACTCTTGTTTAAAAAAATAATTCTATTATAAATATGATTTGCGCTGCAGTTTGTGGATATACCTGACCAACTAGACAGAGTTATTTTCTTCAAGGCTGTTGTCAAATAGTCTCAAATAAATGGTTAAAAACTTATAGCTATGCTTTACAAATAATTAGCACTCCAGGTACTGGAAAACACTGTTAAGAACGTCTCTGCTCAATTTTCTTTCCTGGCTATATTTTTACTGCAGTCTCCAAAGACAACTCCCATGACCCTTTGAAACTATATGTGCGTGCATCATTGAAATAACAGCTGGAAACAACTCACCTATATGAATTAAACTTGGTATTGTTTTAGATTCATATTTAAACACTTAAAAGTAAAGTTGAAATTTCAGAGACTTCTGATCTTAGCAATGGTCAAATTAAAGTGTTTTGCTTATTATAATGTCCTTACAAGAATCATTAACGTTTCTGAGAGGAAACCTTTGTGCCATTATTAGGCTAGTGGAAGTTGCTGGTTGCTACTGTGATCTTGGCATCTAATTTAGGAGAGTTGAAAATGGAATTTATAATGAGCAAATCCTTTATTTCTTAAACAAAGATGTCCATTCTTTGGTCTTCATTCAGATCTAGTTTTGGCTCAGAAGGTAGCAAAAAATAAACTTTTCATTGTTGAATAAAGTAAAATTTGCCAGAATGATGCCGTGCGTGCACTCTTTTATATGTATTCAGATATGACTGAGGCAGCTGGAACTCCATTTCAGGGCTAATTGATGCCAATTTCCACAAATCTGGTTTCACATGGTTGGAAAGGGATCAGCACCCGATTGGAATTGCAACAAATTGGCCTCAGACACAAGTGGGTAGTTGGAGCATTCAGTAGTTCCAGATCCATTTGTGACTCTTGCAAACAGGCACCACAATTCTACTACAACAACAAAATTACATTTCTATAGCGCCTTTCACGTCAGGAGTACGACCCAAGGCGCTGGACAGACAGAGTTACAGACCCAAGCTGGTGAAGCAGGCTAGAGCCTGCTGAGCAGAGGAAGTGAGCAGGAGGGAAGGGAGTTAGGAGGTTGCAGAGGTAGGGGGGAGCAAAACCATGGAGGGCTTTGAAGGTGAGGACCAGGATCTTGAACTGTATCCTCTGTGTAATGGGAAGCCAGTGGAGTTGTGCAAGGATGGGGTTGATAGAGTCATGGAGCCTGGTGCGGGAGAGGACACGGGCTGCAGAGTTCTGGATGATCTGCAGCCTGTGGAGGAGGAGTTGGGGAGGCCGACAAGCAATGAGTTTGCATAGTCGAGCCTCGACGTAATGAAGGCATGTATGAGGGTATCGATGGCCTGCAGTGTGAGACAGTGTCAGAGCCGGGTGACGTTGTGGAGGTGGAGGAAGGCAGAGCGGGTCATGGCATAGATGTGGGTAGAAAGGATAGTTGAGGGTCAAACAAGACCCCAAGGTTCTGGACTGGCTTAGTGAGGTGGAGTGTGCAACCATGGATGGTGATGCTGTCAGCGCCTGAGGTGAGGAGGTGTGACGAGCCAATCAGGAGAGCCTCTGTGTTGTTGACGTTCAACTGAAGAAAGTTAGCTCTCATCCAGGACTTGATGTCTGATGTCTGGCCGTGGTCCTGGAGTCAAGGGTGGAGGCAAAGAGGTAGAGTTTGGTGTCATCTGCATACATGTGGAAGTTGACCCCCATGTCTGCGGATGATGTCACCAAGAGGGAGCAAATAGATATTGAAGAGGAGGGGACCACGGACAGAGCCCTGAGGAACTCTGCAGATGTCGCCACAATTCTTAGTTTAGGCTGAATCACAAGTTATAATTTTGGAGGCCAATCTCAATGTGTCCACCTGTGGTTTAGCAAATATGATACATTAATTAATTTACGCAGCTACTGAAAGGAATAAAACAAGGCAGAAAACTAAACAATTACTAGAAAGAATGGTTATCCTCAGTCACTTCTTGGGCTTTGAAAACCTCTGGCAGGAGCTGACCTTCCAACAGGATGGGTACCATACAGAGTGCAAGCTGACCTCCAGACAGGTTGAGTTGAGTGAATCAGGACAATTCACAGATAACAGATAAAATTCAGCGCCTGACTAACCAAGTGAAGCAGGGCACGAGTGCACAAGAGCCACAAATACAGTAGTTAAAGGAAGATATAGATTCCCTTAATAATCAGACCCTAGTTACTCATCCAATTTGAATCACTCTTTGTCATACTTAAAAGAGATGAAAGGTATGGCCTCTCTTTCATTATTCATCTGCTGCATGAAAGACTCCAGCCATAAGGATCTGGTGCTCCCAATCAATAATAATAATAATCCTTGCATTTGACATAGCGCTTTTCACGTCTTCTAGACGTCTCAAAGAGCTTCACAGAATATACTGTAAACTGAATTGACTGTATATTTGAGGGCGAAATGCAGCAGCCAATTGCGCACACCAGTGTCCCACAAACAGTTGTGGATTGAGTGACAAAATTATTATTGTTTTTTTCTTGAGGGATTATCATCAAGCTTGTGGAGCAAGGAAACTTGCCTAAGGTTGCACCCTGCCTGGAATTGAACCCAGGTCTCTTGCTTGCGAGGCGAGTGCTCTAACCACTGAGTTACAGGAGCTACAGTTCATGTTTGGCATGACAATGTCCCCACATATCCCATTGTTTATATGGATTAAGTATATCTTCTGCTTTTATTTATATATTTGTGTTATATATGTTATATATATGTATCAATTATCCATAATTTTTTGCTTTTTTGATAAGAAAATTAAGGGTCATTCCAAAATCCCAATTATGTTCCCTGCCTTTATGAAAATACTAGACTCCTTACATTAAGAGCCCTTTATTCTCTTTGACGACATCCTGGTTTGACCCAGACAGACAATTCCATCTCCAGGTTCTGCAAATGTTATTTCGTGCGTTACTGCAGTCTGGAGTAGAAGTGAACCAGACTAAGGCAGTTAGACAGTGCACAGATTCATTCTAAGGTTCCAGGTCTGAATCAAGCAGGGTGTCTGGCCACCACTTGGGATCATACATAATAAGCTCGACAGAAACTGATTCAGGCAGTAAATTTGTTCATGCCCCAAAATTTTGGAAGGGCAGCTATTTTGACCCAAACTTAGCAAGAGA